TAGGAGTAGTATCGAGAGTAATAGCCTTGTAAATATGTATATATATTTTATTTTAAATTTATATTTATATTTATGTAACCTCTTTATTCTAACTACTACGACCCAGTAATTTTAGCGTCATGCTTTTTCATAAAAATAGTTTTCCTATTCTATTATTTATGGCTGATCTTCATTTTGAAACTCCATTCTGCGCCCCTTCAGCTCTGCTGCATAATGGTACGTGACGGAGAGGGCCTCTTGCCTCTAAATATTGCACTTCGTCAACACATCAAGCCATGCGCTTCTTTTCTGCTCGCCAAGCAGTGGTGCCGAGTTCCATACAAACAGAGCAGTCTTTCACTGCTCATTTTTGCCTCATTGCGTAACTGGGCGGATATAGCCCGCGACCGAGTCCAGGCAGCCAGTGCCCTGGCTATGGGACTACAGCGAAGGCGCCCTCATGCTACCAACAGAATTTGCCCACTTCTTGGTTCGGTAAATTCACAGTTATTTGCATTTTATGCCTCAATAATCCTCGAGTACATGGGAGTGAGATTATGGAAAGAATCTTGCCTATTAGCAGTTAGTTGCATTAGGAAGGTATTAGATAAAACGTTCATATATGAGTTATATTTCCCCTATTACGTTTAAGGTGACGAGGGACTGGTAGTTTAAGTCTCCAAATAAGGATTTGAGTAGAGATGACGCTTCCATTGAATTTCACATAGCCTTGCTTTGTCAAAAGGTGTTCTCATCTAGAATCTACTGCAGTTTCGACATCGCCTAGGTCTTATGAGCCCCCAGCCGGAATCGAACCATGGCAGTGAAGAGTGTAATCTCGATACATTACCCACTGCGCCACATTTCCACGAGTGCCCTTAGGTTAGAGGGTAGATGTGAATTTCAATGAAGGCTAAGTATTTTCCCATATCACATTCTGTGGTGAGATTGTCGATGAAGCAAATTTATATTTACTATAGCAAACGACATTGCTTATATTTCGTTTTGAGTAGGTTGTCGTGACTAGCAGTAAATCATATATATGGGTAATGTTGTTAAGAGAGGAGTGGTGATAAGACATAGGCGAGGTCTAAACTGCAGTCCCCTCTAGATGAAAACATCTTTTTACAAAGCAACGCTATGTGAAATGCAATGGAAGCATCATGTCTACTCATAGCATTGTTGGAAAATTCAACTATCAGTCCTTCATTATCTAAACGAAATAGAATGATAACAGCTTATATACCTTATTTTAGACTTTTATTTATTCTGTAGAGAGGAGGGCCATAATAGTTTGGTCGTTGTCTTCTTTAGCTTCATAGATTTGGCTTGATCCCATTTTCACAATGTGATCGGGGCGACAGGTAGACGCTGTGGAACATACCATGTCATGCATCCACTGCCATAGTATTCACGATGATTTCCAGCATCCGAAATAGTACTGTTAAATTGGTAGATTCCCACACGTTTCGCCGGCATCGTCAGTCAGAGGCGTCATTGTTGGCGCAGAGTTACAACATACTTAAGTGACAAGTGAAAGCAATTTTCTGTTCATCTGTTGTGGCATCACTTCTCATTCTTATTTATTTTTGTCTAAGTTTATAGTGTTGTATCCCTCTCTCTCAACCCCACTTCAGCAACCTCATTTGCCAATTCGCCCCATCCTGTGTCGTCGTTTGCTCCAAAGTCACCCAAGAGTGTGTCGCTTCAAGTGGATTTAGTGAAGCATAATCACCTTCACCATCGGTTTCAGATGCCGTTCGCAGAGCTTCAGGATCTTAGCTTCTGACTTTCATCTTGCCCCCTTCCATTCCGCTTGTCAGTTGGTCACTGTTACACATGAAAATCACTGTCTGGCTGTCTGAAGTCTGGTACCCGTTTATGCTATAATTGAAGATTTAAAGACCTGGAATTCTCAAGCCTAGGCATATTCTTCACCTTATGCCTTAGACCTATGATCCAGTTTCATTTATTTTGCCGTGCACCCTTTAGGCCGTTCTAACCTAGTCTGGATCGCGGTTTCCCTTTCCTATCATCGCATCATCCACACATCTAATGGGATTCCAAACTTGGATGTGCAGACCAGGAGACAAACATATTTTACTCTATGCCACCTGATTCTAGAGATTCAGAGACGCAGCGCAAGCAAAAATTCTATTCACCCTAATTAATTTTAAATTATGAAGGACTGATAGTTGAATTCTTCCCACATTACCTTTACTAGGCCTAATTTTCCCATTGAATTTCACGTAGCCTTGTTTAACAAACTGTATTCATATCGAGAGTAGACTGCAGTTCCGACCTCACCTCGGTTTATTCATCACCCTCAGTGATTAACTTTTCTAGTCTATATGCTACACTACTGAGATTCGAGTTCCGCTTGGGCTGCTAATGAGACTTATGTGAGGTAGATATTGGAGTCCAATCCAACCTGGATGATAATGCCTTTGAGAAGTAA